AGCTTGTTGAATAATTTACATTGCATCTGAAGTCTAAAGTAATTGAACTGGAGCTATTGATGAAATTAGTGTTAAAACAAGCAATACATTTCTCTTAAAAACATTAAATATTGTTATGAAATTTCACTATTCGGCCCATTAAAATCATTATAATTTTTCTTCCCTTCCGTAATAATTATTTCAGGTGGCTGGCCTCGTTAGCACCAGCGATAGAAAAAATTCCTTAAACTAGATATATTGCTCATTTTTAATAATATGCAAATAATGTTATGAATTGGCTGTTTGCTAATTGAAGCTGTCCGTATTTTGCTGGAACATGAATTCTGTAAAATTTTCCAAATGAACTCTTTGAAACTTTGTATTGATCTATAGTTTTCACTACAATCTTCAAGCAAGCAAATGCTCGGAAATCTTTTTCTAAGCTGATATTTTATTTTTAGTAATGTGAAAATGCAAACATTTCGGTCTTCAGTTTGCATACGGTGCCCGAACACAATGTTTTGTGAAATATTGGTTAATATGGTGAATATGGTGAAATATGTGGACTATGTTTGGTATATCAAGAATACCCTATGCCGGCATGATCGATATAAGCTGCCGTGCCGATGGGTCTGGGCTCGAAACTCGGAGAAGTCTTGGATATTTGCAAATGTTAGATGTGTTATTTAGTATTTAGTCCTTGATTTTTCAAGGTCTTGGCGGCATAAGGCACTCAAAAAACACGTCAAACCGAAAGATCTTTCGAGTGGTTTGGTCAGAGATCTTTGGAACCTTCCGTGAGGAATACTCCCTGAAAAGATGTACGGAGCTTAGCTAAGTTGTTTTGTCACCTATAAACCTGCTATCAGATCTGATAGCTATTCTGAGCTTCGGAGCGAAATAAAAATTTTCGAAAATCTTCATTCCCGGGATAAGATATCTAATTATTTGTCTTATAAAAAGACCAGTTGTTTGGCAAAAGCCTAAGTGAGACAGAAATGCGAGCGGAACATTTTTCTTCTCGTTGTTCGTTTGTTTCTGAAGCTCGTGATGCCTTTTTGTTTCGTCCTTGAGATGTAGATCGAGCAATCGATTTTCGTTTTGTTTGTATAAGTTTTATTTGTATTGAAAGTAATGCTTTGTGACGACTATTACAAATTCACTTTCAAAAAGCCAAGAAAATGCGCGTGATGCAGTAGCACGCATGTTAATGCATGAAAAATTAAATGTTTTACGCATTGCTGAACGATAAGACACTTTAAAATATTTTAATATGGACAGTGGCAACAATTTTCTCTTAAATAGCCGAGTTTGTTTATTAAATTCGAGAAAAATTAATATAATTGCGTTTTGCTAGTAGCAACACCCTTTTATTATATCACTGAATTTTCTGAATTAATTGAATATTCAGTGAATCACTGAATTCAATTTGAAACACATATATCTTATGCTTTGGAGAGTGCCAACGCAAAGCTTTTAAATGAGTTTTTATTCAAAAGTTCGTTAATTTAATGTGAAATATATGTATATAAAGAGTGCGGATCCCATGGGATGATTTTTGAGAAATATCATGTAGACCTTTCTCTTATTTTGAAGGTCTAGTGTGGGAAGTTTCATGAAGATCGGAATTAAACTGTAGATTTGTATAAAGGACAAACAAATAAACATTCATTTATTTATATATATAGATTAAAACTGTATGGTATAATATGGTAGGGATTTCTCAGAGCAGATTACACGCAGTGTGGAATAATATCAAATACATTATCAGATTTCGATGATAATTGATAGTTACGATGCTCTAGAATTATAAGACCGGATATGATTTTCTCATAGCCGATGTTATGGATATTGTCAACTTTATTACCTTTTATTCTATATAACTAAAAGTGTTCATATAATTTACATGTTTTGTAAATATTTCAGTTTTAGTTCTATACAGATAATTAAATTAGTACCAAATATGTTTAAAGTCATAGTAAAAGGGATTACAAGCATTACAAAATCTCCAATGATTCACAATTTTTGTTTGTATACTGATAAAGATAGATAAATTGAGTTTCAAGTTTTTACATTATAATAACTGAAAAGCAATTAAGAAAAATTTGTCTATAATTGAATGATATAATATATTATAAACCATCATTCGTCTTTAAAATATCATCATTCGTCATATCATCTTAAAAAAGGTAACATTTAGCCTCAATTACATTCCTCGAAAATGAGTAGAAGGTTCCTATTATATGCCCTTACATCTGTAATTATCAAAATCGTTAGAATCAGTTGTGCGGAATTTTGTATTTAAAAAATTTTATTCCTTATTAAAAGGATACTATTAAGGAATATTATGTGATATAATGACGATTTCATGAAGAAATTTCTGCATTTGAGATGCATCAAAATAAAAATATCTGAAAATATAGTGTACATTGGAGTAAAATATTTTTTGTATCTTTCTTTGATTATTCCTAAATATATGTAAATTGGTAATTATTACGTTGTGTAAAAGTGTAGTAGTCTTTAAAAATATTTCGTTCATAAAAAATACATAGGCAAATGAATCAATGAAAACTGACGGTCATGAAAGAAACTCCTAGTATAAGAAATTATGAAATAGACTGTAATTGAGTTTGTTAGTGAATTAGATAGAAACTGAATTAAGTTTCAAATAAATGTGCTAACCTTATGAGCTAGAAATAAAAGTACTATATTAACAAATCCAAATTTCAAGAGCTAAAATGGTAACCAATGTTTAAAGCCCTTGAATGCCAGGGTATTTTACCTCTGATTCGATACTGAAACGTTGACCTTAGGAACTGTTTTTACATGAAACGTAAGTAATTATTAGTTTGTCTTGAATGTTATTCGCGAAAGCAGAATTAGGATAGGAAAAAAACATTAAGAAAAGAAAAGCATAGTCAGGGCATTTAAAGTGTACAAATAATGATATGAATATTATAAATTAGAAAAAAATGAAAAATTAAAAGATGTTAAACATTAAAAATAATAGGAAAGATTTTTGTTGTGAGTGCATGAAACAGTGAATATGGTTTTAAACTTTCAAGTAATAGCTGCGACTTTATTCTAAAAATTTGGAATAAGTCATAAGCCGGCTTAACTGAGGTAACTGAGGATCGAGACTAAATATTACTAATATCGAAGAGTGTAAAACATGCATAAATAATATTAAAAATTAAAAGGAAATATCTGAATATACATGAAACTATAAAGATTCAAAATGTGAAGAAAGGTAATAATAGTACCTAAATGAAGTCAAATAATATAAATAATAATGGTAAGACTATTTTTAAATGAGAAACTGCACAACACGTAAATTAAAACGGAACTATAAAATATAGACTAAGTAAGGACTATTCACTGAAATGAATAAAAATTAACAGCCATAAATTTAAATGCTTAAATTAAAATTCTTGGTAGGTTTAGGGAAGTCAAACATGCGAAAACAAATTATGTAGAATTAAGTGAAATGGTGAAATAAGTAAAATCAAAGCGAGCGTTATTACGATCGAAAATTATAGTTAACGAATTAAAAATTATAATAAAAAATTCTCAGGGTACACAAAAAAATTGTAGATATTTGGAATATAAAAGTAATTAAATAAAGTTAATGTATATGGTCAGAAAATAAGAAATAAGTTACAAGTTAGAGTATATTGAAAATTACGAACTTTAAATGTCAGAAAGGAGTTAATTAAAAATTAATCTAATTAATATTATATTAATCTAATTAATATTAATATAATTAAAAATTACATCTGATTAAATAATAGGAAAAATAAAAAGAGTTTATTTGAATAATTACGCTCGTAAATTATAAGAATTCAGTTAAAATTAAGAGTATGTTGAAAATTTCGAAAATTAATGTGTTACAAAACAAGCTAAATATTAGAGTAAGTTAAAAGTTAAGGTTAAAATGCATGAGAAAACCCCTATTCGAGTAATTGCACTCCTAAAATATAACAAATGAGTTAAGAGCTACAAAAGTATGAAGATATCTTAAGGAAAGAGAATGCGTATTGTTGTGAACTGAATATATAAGAAATAAGTTAAAATTAGGAGTTCATAGGAAACTGCAAAGCATAAAATGTACGATAATAATTAAAAATTTACATCTAACATAAAGGAAATTTCATGCGAATCTATAATTAAATTTGGGCATAAGAGGTGTTAAGGGTACATATGAATAAACAAGAAAAATCTTAAATTACGAAAAATCCTAAAATAAAGGTAATTAACGCCAGAAAATCTATAAAAGATAATCTGTTATCAAATCGTCATGTTTATCTCAGTCCTTTCCCTTATCAGGTAGCTGGCTTCCTGTCCTCCTGTGGGCTTGCTCCGCGCTCTGCCTCCTGGCCGTGAACCCCCCGTTACATACTTCTCATAGTCCAAGCAATGTCTTGATATGTATATGACAGTATTGTTTCTCTTCTGGCTACCCTTTAAAGCAATGCATTACTCTTTCCTCTTATTTTAGTACACTTATTTTCAAAGTATTATCGGTATCGACGTTTTATATTGTTCATTCCATTTCATTCTTTGTAAATTGAAATTACTAACCTAAGAGTTCCATTTCTTATGTTAAGAAAACTTTCACCGCAATATTATTTAATATCGAAAGTAAGTTCTTTTACAAGAAGTATCAACTTCGCCCATATCTGTTACTTGAGAAAATTACACGATATTTGATGTCTTCTGATGGAAAAGACCCAATTTACCACGTCATATTTTTCCATATACCATATTTCATATTTAATTTTGCTTTCAGGAAATTTCTGCTGAGTCACTGAAGTAAGCGTACATTACTCACTTTTTTAAGACTACTAAACCGGGATAAAATTTATTAAACTAAATATAAATATATCTTTTCGAAACGTACCTCGTTATTTTGCTTGTCATATATTTGTATTTTATACCCTCATTATTTTACATGATATTACTCATTCTTTCGTTGTTAAAGTTTCCTATAAAAAGACAGTTTAAAGAGTTTTCAAACACATTAACTTCTTCCATCTTCCGAAATGGAGGTTTTACGAGACAGTTTACTTTTTCTCTTGGCTTTGGCGCTGGCAGTTGTGACCATCCTTCAGGCTGAGCCTATGCCAAAACCAGAAGACGAAAATGTTTTAACCTATTTGGGAGAAACGCTGGGCTGAATTCTATACTTCTCTTGATAAGTATGTGATGTTTGTTTGTAATTATGTAACATAATTTTGTTAAAAAACTAATTTTTAATTTCATTTAGCATTCTGAATTTAAAGATTTTTACATTAATTTTTGTGTTAAAAAATCGATACTTTAGGAAGTAAATTTAAACGTTTAATAGCATTAGAAATTATAGTTTAAAAATTAGAAAGAAAAAGGAAATTTTAATTACAGAGGAATTCGAAAGAGAGAGGAAATTTTAATTACAGAGTCAGCGCTACTGGAATTAATTTAGGAATTTAGTAAAAAGTACATATTTTCATTCTTCGGTTCATATGAAATTTTAAGAGAAAGTAAAAGGTAACATATAATTTTACTCGTAAATTGAAATTTTCAGTATCAGTAATAAAAAATGAAGGAGAAAATTGCAAATAAAGGTCCATTGCTTTTAGTATATAATTAGCTTATGAATTTGACTAAAACTTATTTTCATATTTTATGCTATATATAAGCCTAACGCTTTTTGGTTCATGCAGAAGTTTTAGGTCAGAGTAAAATATAGTATGCCTTCTCTTCGGTTTTATTAAAAAAATAATAGAAAATTCTTTTAGTTACGTGTGACTTCAAATTTGATTCCATTCCTTTTTTATTATTAAATATTGTCAATTTCAATTAGAAGTTAGAGTAAATGATTTTACTTACATTTACATATCTGTATTTATTTATATCGTTGTCTTTCAGTCTTTTTCTCTTTCTCTCTCTCTCTGTATTTGTATTTACAAAATGTAACAGAATCGTTGGCCACAGTTTTAAGGGCTGATAAAACATGGGAAAGGAACCGCTTTAGTAAGACAAATCGAAACAAAATTAGTTCAAAGAATATGCAGACTGGAAAGATATTTTAATCACAGGTATTTTCAAGAAATAATATTTGATATTTATAATAATTTTTCAAATGAACGAACACCAACTGCAATACATATCATATACTATATGATGAAGTTATTGTGTACACTTTGGAAGATCCGCAGCATAATATTTACTTCTGCAGCTACGACTCTAATTAAAGTAAAAAGGTCTTCAGAAAAGCCAATTTAATCTTTTTGATGAGATTCGTCGTCCTTTTGATGGCCGTACTGCAGTTCCTTGTCATTTATTTATGCAGCTCTTGTGAACCTGAAAGCCTCTTTCTTGTAAGTATCCATGATCGGCTGAAAAGAATTTTCTTTTTTTTTATATTCGTCATACTTATAGTGTTTTTGCATATAAATTTTTAATTCTACCTTATATTGTTAATTGTCACTTTTGAAACGTTCTAACCTCTTTATGAAGCGCTCTATATATATGAATTTTTTTGGCATTGTTTTTAACTCGAAATGTTGTGCATTAATGAATAACTTTTGTAGTTACAGATGATAATTGGCAATATGGATTTAAGACGCTAAGTATTATGCTACTAAGCAGTAGCATATATTCTATAAATTAAGTTTGTAATTCCTTGATACTGTAGCCATAATTGAATTAAATTTGAATGTAATAAGAATGCATTTCTACTTAACCTCCTACCTCCATCAAGATTTACACAATTAATCGATTGACACTCAAGACATCTGCGTATTAACAAGCCAATGTTAGCATTCGTACTTATCGAGACGATGAAATTGAGATCTTCACTCTACCAATTTTTATAACTACGGAGGAAATGACTGCCTTCGCCAGTTTTATTTAAATAATTGTATTAGTTATAGGAATATTTATTATTCCTGTAGGGTTCTGGCATATTTCTTCAGGCCGAACAGTGGTCGAGCGGTAAAATCGCTGAACACTGATAATTCGATCTGCTATCAGATTATTCTGGGCAAAGGCTGGCTGCATTAGAGTTTCTCACGTATGACGAAAATACGAGCCAGTTTCACTCAGAAAGTACTTTGCCTAGACATCTCTTCCCTTACGCAGATAACCCTTGCATGTTCTGCTGCAAACTCTAATATCGAAAATCTAGGAAGTTTTTCACTTTGTAAGCACTTTCGAGACTAATGTATAGTTCATACTTGTTTCGCTAAGAAAAATTAGCTATAAATTAGATTAAACTCTTATCTAACAAACCACTATTTAGGGCGACTTTGCAGCTTAACAAAATTTGTTTTAAAGCACCCAAAAACCAAAAGAAAAAGAAAATGTAACTTCAAACCCTTTAATTTTGATTACTGTTTACGGTTACATAAAAATAAAATAAACTACTTAGATACAAAAGTTATGCACAAGGAGAAGTGTGTAATAATATTTATAACAACAGCGAATTATGAATCTAGTAAATTCTTCACATCCTAAAGAAATTTGTTTCTAAATTTTAGCTCCCTCTCACCATTAGAACATTAAATATAACTGATTAGCCGAAGTAAAAAGTGATCCATAAATTGTTGTCTGAAACTATCGATAAATCGATCCACAACGCTAGGAAGTAGAAGCGACTTATTAATTATAACTATGCTATAGATGCAAGATTTAGAAATGTGGGGAGAAAAGACTCTTTTATACTCAATAATAATATAGGAGTATGTATTAATTATAAATCAGAATAAGTTATTCCCAGTGAGTATTTGAATATTGGACGGCCTTTTTTTTTTCCTAATTTTTTCTCATTATGCACAACTTGAGATAATTCTCTATTTCATTTAATGTGCTACATGAAATTGTTTTAAACAATGAAACTACTTTAATGAATATTTTTTTTCGATTTTAATTGTTTTCCAATGGTAGTTTTTTGTTTATATTTTTACAACTATTTGTAGCGAACTGCATGGTTTAAAATCTTACCCATTAATGGACTGTAAATTAAAAAAACAAGAATGTGCATAAATTTTCTTTCTTTCTTTCTATCGAAAGTGACAGTCAACTGAGTCAAGTTACTCATTTTTTATATTCTTGTAACGAGCGTAAGTATATTTACCATAACTGGAATATTTAACTAAATTTGATACAGAAGCTATGAATTTTTGGGAGATTATTTCTATCATAATTCTTTTTTCCTTTTTATGTTTGTTCTTCCATTCACAGGAGAAGTTTTGAAAGGTAAGACAGTTACTTAGAAGTTACAAGAATAATTTTTTAATAAATAAAATAGAACTTACTTTTTATTTCCTTGTATGAAGTAAAGGAAGTATTGTAATCTCGAAAGATTTCGAGTATCATATTTCAATGATAATATCCATTTTGACCTTTCTTGAATCCATTTGAGCGATGTTTTTGCGTGACATCTGTAGGTACGGGCATAATAAAGACTATTTTTTGCAAAATGGATTCAGAAAACATTTTTCGTGACGTCTGTACTTACGTACGTATGTATCCCAGCATAACTCAAAAACGAACAGCCACAGAAAGTTGAAAGGTTGTACCTGGGACTGCTTAACATGTAGTTGTACACCTCCCATTTTGGTTGCAATCGGTCGCACCATATATATATATATATATATATATATGTATATCTATAAATATACATACATTCAGTCTATTACACGCCTCGGTGAGCTCTTTTTTTATTCTTATATATTGGGAAATCGAGTATTTTTAGCTTTAAAAGTTATTGAATTATGTTGTTCTTATGTTGCGGTTAAGGTTTTTATACCTTTAGTTAATCTACATGCAATAGTTGTAGAATTATCAGCAATTTATCAGCAAAGTCGTTTAAGTGCTACTAAGCCTAACGTAGCAGCCATTAGTTTAGTTAATTCAGTTTCTGCACCTTCAGTGGCTTTTTGCCGAGTAGAACTGAAAGTAAATTTTCAGTTTTGTGCACCGAAAAATATGCCTTCTTGGAGGCTTTCCCGAAATGCTTCGCTTTTCGGCCAGCGTGCTTGTTATTGCATAGAACTCTAATTTTAATTGTAAAAACATTTTAACTGTATTTGATGTTTTATGTTTTTTTTTGTATTTTACACTTTTTAAGGAAGATGTTTTGAGATTTTATTAATTTTTCCCTTTGTCAGAAAGTGAGAACTGAATTAATTAAATGAGAAATATATCTCTAATTAAATTCGAGGAAATAAGTTTAAATGAAATACAAAAAATGTGCCTAATTTAATACGCCGTACAAGGAAGTCATGTGGTGTCCACATCAGATTTTTTATCCAAGTAAAAAAATATTCATCAGTACTGAAGTTTCATTTAATCCTAAATATTATTTTAAGTCTTAACCTTATTTAAGAGTTTCCTAAGTAAATTTGTATTGTAATAAAATATTTTTATGTTTTAGAGGATTTTGATCTTTTTATAATTTTTTTCAATAGGTATTTAAAATTAAAAATTTAATAAAAGCTTAGGTAAGAGAATTAAAGTGTAATTTTAATGTTATTTTGGTTTTTTAGAAAATTAGGTTTAATTATGTAATCTTTCCAAAGTTTCATTTTTTTTATACTTCTGAAGTTATGCATGAATTTATTGAGCAAAAATTAAATAACTTTAATTTAAAATTTTCAAAATAATGCAGTAAAGTATGTAGCAAAATTATGTAAAGGTCAACAAAATTAATCAACCTTCTAATATTAGATTGCTTTTGATAAAGATATTTAAATAAACTATTAAGCTGATTGTGAGACTTAGTTCATATATCAAAATCACCTCTGGCTTCATATAAAAAATTTAGCAGTTACGAATAAATTTAGTTTTCTCTACCTATCAATGCGGAAATTTAAATGTCTAAAAATTTGCATTAGATAATAGTTTTGATCCTTATCAAAGTAAAGTTATTTATTTTTTTATCAGTAAATTTAATAATTATTTTTTTTTCAGGGATTTTGATATGGAAGGACGTTAGATCATTCGTCATTTAGATGTGTAAAATTCTTCCGAAGACATCAATAAATATCTAAAGCTACAGAATTTTTTTATGAAAATATATAGAACATTTTCCATTTTAGAAGTATGCAAGAATAAAATATTTTGAAATTTGTGCATATAAATGTTTAATGCTACTAGATATCACAACTTATGGATTCATAATTATTGAATCTCTATAATTCTGGTTTGTTACACCGTAATCAAGTATATGTTAAAATTTTTGTAATTTTTCGTTAGTCACAATTTTCTTTTTAAATTACTCTCACTTAATACCTATCTTTTCTCTAAGCCAAGAGGGTGTTAGCCCGAATAGTCTGTTAGTCTCAAAAAGAGATTTGGCAGTGTATCGCTTTAAATATATGAATCACTTTTTAAATTATTGCCATGAAATATTATCGATGTGTATTACTTTTAAAGAAATTAAATAGCGAAAAATCGGCATGAATGCTTACACGTTCACACTATGAAAGAAAGATGGTACCTAGGGACATGAAATTTTGAATAACATAGTTCTCCACACGAACATATACACTTGGAAGCCCGAATTTTGCATATTGAATTTTATATTTCATATTTTGTAAATGAATTTTTAACGAATGTAAGGATTTGAAAACAAGTAATGGCAACACTGAAAAAAAATATTGTTATCTCTAGCGCTAGAGAATGTCTTTCAGAAATTCTAAAGATATACTGATTTTAAATCTTTTGTGATTTTGCTGTTCAACTGAATTTTATGTAAATGAACGTGATGTTTAATTAATAAATTTGACACACAAAACGTTAATACTAAAAATAAAAAGAATAGAAAAGTGTATGCAAACGTTTAACACTTTATAGGAAATTCTAAACTTATGCTGCTTTTAAAAGTTTTATAATTTTGTTGTTAAACTATATATGGTGTAAGTACTAAGAAAATGAAATTTTTATGGTAAAGCTAAAATCCCCCCCCCCCCCCAAAAAAAAAATGGGTTAACAGAAGTGTGTGCAACAACAGATTGGTAGATTGCGAGCCGTCGAGAGTTAAGAAAAACCAGAACACATCCTTTAAGGAAACCATTAAAATTTGAGCCCTGTTAGATTATTTTTTCAAATACTTCTTTCTTACCACTCCTAAAATAATGCAAAATTTTAAGAAATGTGCGACTGTTAATGCTAGTTATCAGTATAATTTCATGAACTCTCTAAAACTTTTGCTTTTTAATTTAGAATTAAAGAAGAATGTTCCAATAAAGGACACTTGTGAATGCGGATATTTTAATGTTAAATTGAGATGCTATTTAATTGTGTCAGACTTTTTAATCGAAACAACAGTGAATGATTAAAGTGCAAAGCTAAAAAAATATTAGTATCATAAGAACGTATTTGTTTGTATTAGAAACATTTACACTGATGCATCCTATTTGCAGGTTTTCCTCTCCAAATGAATAATTGGTTAATTAGCATTTGCTATTAGGTCGTTAACTGCAATTTTCACTATAACGCTATTTAAAAAGGAAATTATGGAATTAGTCTGCGCATTTCTAGACTTATTTGCGATTTTAGAATTTTTTGAATTTTTTTTACTCTTTACTTTTCAAGTACTCCAAGCCTCTATTTTTAATGATTATCAGTCACAGATACTTAATATCACGTATACAAGACTGTACAATACATTCCTTTGTTACAAAATAAATGCCATCGATATTAAAGTTCACAAAAGCCTCAATGCTCAGTCTGCTCTCAGAGTTCATTTACGCTGGATTCATGATGAACTCTGTAATCCTATCTTCTTAAAATGCCATTTGACCCATATTTATGCAGCTATTAATCAGTTTAAACACAGTAATTAATAACTGGAATTAATTCGATATATACATATAAATTTGGATTATTCCCTGTCTTCCCAAGAAATTTAACTGAAATATTATATACATTATGTTTTAGTTTAGAAGCTGCAATGCAAAGTTTGCTTATAATGAAAAAGGACAATATAATTCTAAGAACATTTAAGACATTTAATTTATCATAATCATCACACATAAGAAAGTAATGAGATCATTTTCACTAAGTATGAAATATTATTTTCTCATTTAACGGCTGTATTTTTACTTTCAAATAGAAGAAGATATAGAAAAGCTATGATATCAGTTGATAATTAGGGTAAAGCATTTAAAGAACTAAGAAAAGACGCAGTCATCTGGAATTTTCTAAGGTGATCTTACATTATTCTCGTTACAAATGGGTTGCATTATTGATACCAGTTTAAATAAAATTTTAAAATAATTACTTTAGAGTTGGGAATTTATACCATAGATTGAAGTCAAATTATTAGAAAATTCCATAGGAAAAAACACAAACAAAACAAACGATTCCACGACAAACGTCTTTCCAAGGCAAACAAAAAAGGTAAAACGCAATTTAGAACAGCAAATGTCATATTTTTCAACAAAATTTTAGCATCTGAATATGGGATTTATGGAACAAGATGACAGAAGAGACGATTTTATTTAAAGATTGATCTTGGATAATTGCTGTGTATATTCTGCATAGTACTTGGCGTTTGTTGTTTCCATGCTTGTGAACTTAGGTGCTATTTATTCACTATACCATTTCAGATAATATAGCCTTAAATAATAATTCCATATTTATTTGAATAACTCAACTTTCCTACTGCTTAAAAGCATTTCCTCGATTTCAAAATCTGTAATTCACGCCCTAAACAACCTGCAATCAATACACTCGGTTTCTGGTTAGACAAGAAACATTAAATCACCATGAAAGTCTTAGAATATAGAAGTTTACATAAATGTTTATAACGAGAACCAGTCTGGCATTTTATTGTAAACTGATTATTACTCTGAACGATAAAAAATTAAAGAAAACATTAATTTCATTCGCATGAGCGTAATGAATATTTATTCTCCGAAGATCTCAAATCTATCACATTCACCAACGTAAACGATCGATAAATATATTTTTGAGATAACGTAGTCCAAAAATCAATATAAAAAGCGTCTGAAAATTCACTTGAATGCATCGATATTAAAGAGAGAATACTTTTAAGTATCTATAAGGTTGCTGAGAGCACTCTTTTTAAAATGGTTTTAAAATAACAGGCATCACAAATTCATAAATTTCCGGAAAACGTTTCAAAATTTATCTACCAAAATAAACATACTTATAGAATTTTAGCTGTTGTTCATAAGTTTTTTTATAGTTTTAGTTGCATTATTTATAAGTGAAGATAATTTTCTACTGTGAGGATATATGATTATGAAATGCATTGGAAAAAGCGAAAGCTAGTAATTATTTTATGTACTTGACTAGGAATAAAATATTATAGGTAAGGCAATTATTTAAAAAACCTCCGAGAATATGGCGAAGTATATGTATAAGTTATTTTGATTATGACATACGAATATATGTTTTTTCATTAGAAATGATAGTAGTACCTCCCAAATTAGTAATGAAACATTCAATACGATCTTTAAGATTTAATTAAGAGACTCCTGAAAGTCTGCAGAAAGATAGGGAAACATGACATTTTTTCATATATTCCCATGGTACGTAACAAAAAATTAAAATATGATCCAAATTTATCAATGCAACAAAAGGTAAAATATTATCTTTTTAACGGTTTGTTTTAAAAGCATTAAAGAGTTATTGTGTACTAATTCATAGTGCATAATGAATCTATGAATTTAATATTTGTGTTCAAATACTTAATGTATTCAATAAATTATTACTCAAATGCTATTTTCTCTTGAATGTGCTAAGTTCCTGGAAAAGCTAGCGAAAAAATTTATACAGTTAAACAGCGGGCGATTTTCTTTCTCAGGGTACTACGCTTTTCGGATCATAGGTCGGCGGACAGCTGCGGCTGTCGCCCTTTAACTTTCCAAACGATACATGTATTTTGCTCATGAGATGCAAGAGAATTTCGGCTTCGTCTGAAGTGGAAAATTTTTTCGATTTGTTTAATACTATCGTGTACACAGCTGTGACTGAATTACGGTAAAAACATTTCTTAAAGTTTTGCGCAAGAACACGGCATGTTACTTCTAAAAGAAAGTCAGATGTTTCTTCGAAAATTAGTGGTAAATTATTGGAGGGAGTTTAAGAAAAGTATTTGAATGGGTGGATATTAATTTATACCTAATTTGAGCCAATACTAGATTATTTAGAGGCCAATTTAGAGGCGGTCCTCACTTTAGAGAAACCGAGGTTTTAAAACTTGTTGTATGAGTGGTAGGGGAGATACGTTGATACATTGATACAGATGTATTTATACAGGGATTCTACTGTATTCGCAGTACTGCCCTGTAAACCTGAAGGAAATCCACAATGGGCATGCATGGTGTTAAAAAGTTCCTGGATGAATCCCATGGAGGGAGAGGGAGGAAAAAAAAGAAAAATATCTCAAGTAAGTCCCTTGAAAACTGGCGAGGGAGTAGAAAATAAAGTCCAGAAGCCGTAGGGGAGATTTTTTTCATCTTATTGAAAATTACTAAAAAGGGGGAGGAGAGAAATAAGGTTTTGACAGCTCCCCGACGTATACCTGGGGCCGGCCGCGTTCTGCGAGTCCAGATTTTCTGGAGAAAACGAATTTGATCGTCGTGTTTCTTCACAGCCGTGTATTTCACGCATGAAAAGTCGCATCAGAATAATTAAAGAATGACAATATTCCTGTAGCCGACAAGATGAACTCTTTTCTCTTCCCTAGAAAAGGTCATACTAGCCGTAGAGAATTTTTGCTTGAAATTACGGGTTTTTGTTTGGCAATTCCGGCTTCTAAAACATATTTTTGAAGCACGATTCAGGGTATCAGCCATGACTCTCACTTGCTATCCAGAAACTGGTGTATTCTACTCAACACGTCGTTCTCAGAATTTTACAGAGTAGCTGCCGTGCCGGACTAGCTGGCCGACTATTTCTTTTAAGTAGTACTGAATGTAAATTAGAAATCTTATGGATCAACGTAGTGGTAAATTCAGCAGAAAGTTTTCAGCGAATCTCAAGAAATTACAGGGCGAGTGGGTTAGAATATCACGGCGTCCTGAGATAGTTTGGAGTTCTTCATGACTTTGCTGTGCCGATTCTAGCCAGAGTTTTGAGGACAAGAACTTGAATGGTGTTTACTTGC